CGGCGGCCGGTGGCCGGCGACCGTCATACATCTCGGAATCATTTAATTTTTTTTTTTGTTTCCTATGTAAAACCAATCAAGGAATCCAAATCCGAAGTTATTTTGGCCTAAATCGGCTTAAATCACCCTAGATCTAAGTTTTTCTCCGACGGTTCTCGGTGATTTTCCGGCGATGTTTCACCGTTTTCGGCGACGACACTACCCAGAAAAGATTCAAGTCGTCAAGTGCTTTCAAACCCTTCAAGTCTCAACCCAAACCGAGCTTCCGTTCGCCGGAAATCGGAAAAACTCCATGGCGGTAAAGGAGAAGGAAAACGATGAAGAAAAACTAAGAAAAGATGGAGAAACGGACCGACGGTGATGAAGCGGTGGCCACGGGGCGGTGGTCGATGGTCGACGGCGAGCAAGGAGGCAAATCGGAGTGGAAGATAGGCAACAATGGTGTTAGGGTCGGCCATGGGAGGAGGAAAAAGAAGAAGAAGAAGAAACCCTAACAAAAATTGCAGTCCAATCCCATATTTTCTGAAATTTTCGAATTCTGCCTAAACTTTTATTTCGTTTTAAAAGACCCTAACTGAAATAACAGATTTTTCCAGAACTTTTAATTTTTATCACCAAACCCCAATTCATTTTTTTTTATAAAAATTTCGTTCGTTATACTCCGCGTCTACCACTGAGGAGATCGAGTGTTGCACCGAGAGTTTACACTCTCACGGTCAAGGAAGATGTCTTGGAGGAGCATACATCAAGGAAGAGTTGTATGCAGCACAGTCGATGGCCACATATAAGGCCACTGATGAGGAGTATCTTGAGAAGACGAACACTGCCACCATCATATGTACAATTTGCATACATGATGTTGCATATACCATTTTTTTAATACAAGAGCTACACACAAATTCCTAAGTGTGAAGAAGGTGGGAGAGTTTTCGATCATGGAGATCGACACGACTACCCATTTCATGGTATGTACACCAGCGGGACAGACTCTCTCGACACAAGGTATTTTGCATTGCATGCCATTGGCTATCTACGAAAGGATGCTAACTGTAGATTTTATTGTTGTACCTATACGTGGTTACGACCTGATAGTGGGAATGGATTGGTTATCCAAGCATCGAGCACAGATTGATTGTCACCAGCGGACTATTTGGTTCACAGAGGAATGTTGGTTTTAATGTTCTACGATGATCTGTGATATGGCATTTGACTTTGTATTGGTTCATTTGGTTTATGAATGCATTACTTTTCTTTTCTATAATTCGCATGATCGTTACATATTGGTATCCTTGAATCATTATAGAATGATTCTAAACTCCCTGATCAGTTATATCATCATGGGAGCGATGATGAACTAAGACCAGAATGAGGGGTGATTGATGATCATGATAATGATCATGTGAATTGGATGTGAATCACAGTTATGGGTACTCATTGAGAACGAGTGACTAGATGAACCACATGAAATTGTCATATAGATATGCCCCAATTATTCACATAAGTCAAAAGGGAGAATGTTAGAAAATAAGATGTTGGATAACCCATAATTTGAACTTTCAAGTCTTAATATTAATTTTAATTCTTTGATACATAAGAACCAATCAAAGGGTATTTTAAAAAAAATATATCTATTTATTTTAATAGAATTAGGGTTTTACACCTTGTAAAAGAAATTTTAAAATTTATTATTTTTTATCTATCAAGAAAAAATATAAAACGCAAAAAACGAGAGAACCTCTTAACAGCCGTAGTCCCTAAAATTATTCCATGTTTTTCTAATCTATATTTTATTGATAGTTTTTATAAATTATATAAAGTCAAATCGTGTTTATTGTTTGAGTTTTTATAAAATCAAATCCATGAAAATATGAAAGTATTTTGCATTTGACACTTTGGCACGAATGCATAAATTAGTTTTTTTACACCACAAGTTGATTGGAATTTGTAAAAAGATGAATCGAAGTGTAATTAAAACCTCATTGAGTTTGTCTTATATTTGTTTCGGTTCGATTATAGTAACTCATTTTATTTCGAATTATCATGGATTTCATTTGATTCGGGTTTTGGTTAGTTTGGACTGCAATTCAAGTACATTGTGCTTACACGAAGAAATGAACCATAGTAATCGACGTAAAAGGATATAGCTAGGGATCAACTATCCATGCATGGTTACACAAGGTCGGATATATTCGATCGAGATATACCAATTTTGGATTTGATTTCGAGCATCGCATCGTCTGTGTTGTGTATGCCCGTGCGTAATCGAGATGTATAACATTAATACCACCGAACGGTCGAATAGGACGATGTATATCATCAATATTTGATAGCATTACCCTTAAGGTGAATTCAGGCTGATTTATATAAATCAATTAGTGTTTCTTGTAACCTTAAAAGAAAACGATAGGTTTAATAATTTGGTCCATTGAAGATCCAAAACATTGAATTCTAAACTCAATTGGATGTCTCCCGTAGTTTTGGTTTAGCTATTTTGAAACATGTTTACTGTAGGGAAGCGAATTCGATTTATGTAAAAACTTTTGTATGATAGGAAAGGCTTATTGAAAAATGTGAAAGTTATATGAAAACTTTCGTATTTAATTTTAATTTATACAACAGCATTGAAATTCAAACGTATTTGAAGCGACTTTTATCATGTATTAATTTTAGTTTTAAGATAATATTAATCTTTACTAACTTTAAAAATATTAATTTATAATTTTTCTGAAGGGTATTTGACAATTTTAATTTTCAGATTATTTAACTAATTAACATTTACAATATTATAGTATTTTTGGGAAATTTCTATAAACATACCAAAATTTGTCTAAATATTCCACATAAATATCTCAAATTCCTAATTGTTAAATAAATAACTTAATTTGATCAATTTATATCAAATAGATACCAAATCTATGATGGTGCTAATGGATGACGACGTCAATAGATATCAGATTATTGTATTTATTTCTGAATTTGAAATTTGGGATCCTTATAAGACACATTAAAACAAATTTTGCTATTTTTTATAGATTTTTTCAAATTTTTATATTCACGGGCTTGATAGAAATTTAGATTTGTCTTGGTAACTGATGGTAGTTCCCTCATTTTCTTTTTTTCCACTATTTGATAGAAATTTAGATTTGTTCAACTCTTTATAACTTTGTTTTCTTCTTTTGACATTTAGATTAATATATTTTCCTTTTAAACGGCGATTCATATCCAATCTTTTAATATCTTTCAGATTATTTTCTCTTTTTATTTTTTCTTATTTCATGTTTTGGTTCATTTTTTCTACAGTCACAGATATATATATATATATAGGTAGACAACTAAACAAAGAAGACAAATAGAAAAGATGAGCAAGTTTGTGGCGACTCTATTGGTTGTACTGGTGTCGCTTGATGCCGCCACTGTATTTGCTTATCCACCTCTCTTTAGAAGATTTAATATCGAACTTAAAAATGGCCTCCAATCTAACAAAGCCATGAAGGTACACTGCCGAGCAAAAGGCGAGGATTTCCCATATCATATTATAGACATTGGCGGCATATATCAACTCAAGTTCACAGTCTATGTAAATACTTTGTACTGGTGCAACATCTGGCAGGTGAGTATACCAATTATCTCTCTTTTGTTTCTTTTCGGTTCGGTCTCGGTTATTTTGGTTCGGTTTTTATTATGGGATTTCAGTTCGGCTATATCGGATCCCGATTCGATTTCGGTTTGATTTTTTCTGGAATCCTTAGTTTTCCGGTGTCAGTAAAACTATGAACGCGTTTTATTGTTATATTTGGGTTTCAATTTGAATTTAGTTTATAAAATATTCATACTAGACTGCATCACATTTTGCTAATTTCTCATATTATTTTTTTATTGGGTTTGAATTATATATTTGAGAAAAACTATATAACTTTTAGGGTATATGTCATGAATAAAAATTCTTTTTTTTTTCCCAAAATTTTTTCGTTTTGATCAAAAGTCATACCAATTAGATGTTCAGATTAGATTGGATTTTATATTATTCGGTTCAGCTCTATACATTCAAAATAAAACTTGGTGGTTTCGAGTAATTTTTTAATGTTAGGATGATATCTTTTTTTTTTTTTCAGGGACCTAATTACCAACACCATGCGAAATTTAATGCGTTCATTGCGGTCGATGAGTTCATAAATGATACATGCGGAGGTCGAAAGCCTAATGTATGCAGGTTTGAAGCGAGAGAGGATGGAGTCTATGCTCGTAACAACGCAAAGGGAGAATCAGAGTATAAGTTCCTTTACAAATGGGACTCTTAGTTCTCGTTCATGTGTATCCCTTAGTAAAGAACTGAATAAATTTAGCAGAAATTAAACCCCATATCATAAAATGCGTTCTAAAAACTATTCTGTGGTTTGATAAATAAAGATATCGTTTTTTTTATAACCGAATATCTTATACCAAGATCCAAAATAATTTCGAGATCGCAGGTCAGCCATATGATTTACAATATATATTCCCCTAAATTTAAGATTCGAACTCGAAAAGGAACAAACGTTTTGCGCCTCCATTTCACTCGTTGAATTAACTAAGTTTGGGTTAATTAACATGCTTAACTTTTAGTCCAAACCTAAAAAATAACTTCAATTATTTTATTTACTCAAAAACAACTTTCTACTTGTTATAAAAAAAAGTACCAAATATTAATTTTGAGTAAAAAATACCATACATTTTATATTATTTTAAAAGAGTGTAAATTATTTCTTATTTAATTGATTGGTATGAAAATGATACATTTTATCATATTTTACTAACTAAAATTGTTTTTATAAAATATATCATGCATTGCGGAGAATGTCAACATAGCTCACTCCGGATGAAATCAAGGCAACAATATTTTCCATGCCAAGGAACAGAACTCCGGGTCCGGATGAGTTCACAGCTGAATTTTACCAAATCAGCTGGGAAGTAATAGGTGAAGAGTTTATAGCAGGCATCTCCCATTTCTTTGATACTAGAAGTTTGCCAAAATCTGTCGATGCAACCACTCTAGTACTGATCCCCAAATTCCAGGGAGGAGAAAAGTTCTCCGACTCCACGCTGATATCTTGTTGTCATCTAAGCTACAAGGTCACTGACTTCATAGAATCAAGTCAATCTGCTTTTATCAAAGACCGTTTAATGTCTGAAAATTGTTTGCTAGCAAACGAACCTCTCAAGGAGTATCACAGGAGGAAAATCTCGAAAAGGGTAGCTGTGACACCCGCATCCCGCTTACGCTTGTGCCACGTGGATAAATAAAATCACGATTGAAAAATTTCGAAATGTAAAATCGCGGGAAGATTAAAACATTCATTTTAATTATAATACAGCGGAAGACATTATAAAATACAGAAATACATTTGTACACGTACTTGAAGATATCAGTATATAGTACGAATGGTGAATTGTATAATACAAGAGTCTAAAGATCACCACTCTTTATTTTAAAAAAAATAAAGTATGACAAAATAATTATACATGATCTGGATAGTCCAATTGTCACCGGAACCCACGTCTGCCTCAGTCACTACTGTTGCTCACGACCTGAAACGTTGCGTAACAACGTCCTAAGCTATGTGCTTAGGGAGGAATTCGGGTGTAACCCGAGATTTCTATTTTTATTGAAAACGGCCAAGCAATATAGTCAATATTATAATATACAAGCGACGAGAAATATCAATCAGATCAATCATCGTGAAAATCAATCAGCAATCTCAAATAAATCCGTCAATCGTCTCTACGTGTATCTCACACGTAGGTAATTCAACAACTCATTCATGCCTGTGTCGAACACGAGGCGCAACAGTCCAAGCAAAATCGTTTGCGAGGACCTCAAGTGATCTTCATACTCCTCATCGGTCACCGATATCACGGCTCTCGGTACCGGTCATCTCCATACCCACTCCAGACATCGATCCCCGATGCCGCCGACTGCCGGGCGAAGCAGCTCTATGCTAACTCCCCCTCGCCGACCATCCG